TTCCGAGGCACGGTCAGCCATGACATTTCATTAGAGGCTTGCTGTTTTTCTACCACCAATAAAGATAAATTTCTCAATGTAAAAGATAAATTTTCTGGCGAACACTTAGGGCTTTCAAGATAAGAGTGGGGCCAAGTGTTAGCGTGAAACAACACAGTCTTATGTATAGCCCCTAGGGAATGGGGTTTATGATGGTATGAGGTTTTGTAGAGACGTTCAATTGGCTTAATTTACACAGTTAGAGTGCCATTGTGCCTTGCTCTTTCATGGTAGCTCTAGCTTTTAATGGACACTTGGCTGTATTTACATGATTTTGGTTACTTATGCTGTACAAGTGATGTTTTTCAGCCTGGACCCAGATCTTGGATTGAGCATCCAATGGTCAGAAGAGATGCCATAGCTGGCAAATATTTGTGAACAGAAGTAGCCACCCTGATGAATATCGCGATCCTGCAGTGACAGTGAAATAATGGCTTCGATGACCTCATGGGTAGTTTTCGTCATCTTTCCACAAAAGAGCACTTAGCCGTCATGAGCTGAATAGTTGAAACATTCAACACAGCACTAAAGACAAGGAAGGATATATTTTATAAGAAATGAACCTCAGAAGCAATTACCAACATCTGGCTTAAGTCTTTCTTCACCAACAAAACCCCGACCTGGTCATTGTCTGAGAGAGATGACTGAGCGAGTTCACTGCGAAAATGTTTATTCCATTAATTGGAAAATTTAACATATTTCAGGACAATGGCGTCCGTGAATCCCTGAAAGATGGGATGACACGGCAATGAATTACTGTACTCCGTCCACCAATGTCACTTTGCAAGCAGTCTTGTAAGGTGATGGTTTCTAATCCTACAGACTCGAAACTTTCCTTTGATATTAAAATGATGAGTCTGGAGCTTTTACCGTTTTTCCTGACTGGGAAAAGAACATGTCCATCAAACATGATACACCCCATCCCAATTCAAGCGATTATCCCCTTTAAGAATCTAATGCCCAGGTTTTAATTCCGATCATGCGAGTCCGTATGGCTGGAGCAGAGATGGTAGGAAACCCTCTTCAGCTCAGACAACCCGAGGAGATGGGGCGAGTCCGCGACACCATACAACCAGTAACGACAATCTGATGAGGACGTGGTTTTGGTGGAGGATAAGCCACTTGGCTAAAACGTGATAAACACAGTGTCCAAATCTGTCTTAAGCTGGTTTGGTAAACCATGCAACCCTCGGGATGACAGTCGGCCCCTACTCGTCCTTGCCACGAAAACGCCAAGGAGGAAAATTACATTAGCACAACGGCACATTCTGCATTCTGGAAGCAGCTGTGAATTTCCCTGATTTGCCTTGATTCACTTATAGTGCGAGAAGATGCACAAATTGAGGACCGGGCGAGATTACCTACATGGCAACATTTACTCCTCTACGTGTCTCAAAACTCTCTCCTCGCAAATTGTTGACCCCAACATTACTGAAAAGGAGATGTCCGATTGAGCAAACTAATGAAACGTGTATCGCTCACTCCGAGTTGATTTTACCGCTTGCTGACAGCGATAAGATCAACGGGAGAGTAACGGAAATCAATAAGAAATTTAATTCGGCACTCGGAACCAGGAAAGGATCACTGTGATATAATTCATTCATAACCGCCAACATCATAAACTATGTTCTTGGATTGTGACTGTCTGAAATTTCCATCCCTGGATCTGATATGAGACCTCCTTCGTCAGCAGCCAAAGTGAAATATCCTCTTGCCTGCTCCAAGTCTACACCCAACTTGATAGGCCTACTGCTGACCTTGAGGTTGGCATTGATTTTGTAGCAGGAGATACAGTCAAAGCTTACAAATCATTAGTTGCCAAAAGAGGGGGGAATGGTTGAAGGCATTAAAATCCTACTGCTGAAAAGTGCTCCAGGTCTCTTCCATGTGATCTTTTCCCATTGATCAGGATTGATTTATCCTACTGCAGCCACCTCCAGTGTAAGACAGAACCAAGTGGCCTGTTACATCAGCCGATTGCTTTCCTCTCGTGCGCTGTTTACTTGTTGATTCAAACCCTCCTCCACAAGTGGTCACTTACAGACCCTGCTGATGAGGCAGTGCTTATCATATTTATCTTCACCTGGTTGTTCTCGAAGGGGAAAAATACAGGGTCAACGAGGAAGCCATGTGGCTCCTGAAACTATCAACTTCATGTCAGAGTCTTTACAATACCACTAAAAAATGTGTATGTTGACTGAACACCTTCTTCCATGCACATGCCAGCCAACCTTATCACAAAAACTTCATTAACTTATTGTACTAGGATGATCACGAGACGCAGTTTAATAATCTAATCTACCTGTGCCTGTTAAGAACATTCTTGCCACTTAATTAGGAAATTATCACTCCATGTTCTCTTATCTTCCATTCCATGTTTTAGAAGCTCCACTAAAGAATTCAACAGGAATAGCAAGGCATTCAAAGACTTTCCCATGATGCACAGCAACTGCACTTCCTTGATGAGCCCAACCATGCGTGACTGGACACAATGTGTTAAAGTTGCCCACACTCTCAGTAGGAAGTCAGCCATGTTAAGTATTCCACATTTTTGTTGTTTTTGCCGCGAGTGTTCCGTTACAAAGCTTTTTGCTCCTTCATCGCATTATTAACTACAAGATATATTGGATCACACCATCAAAACAGAGTAAGCGCTTGACCAGATTTAAGGTCAAGGTTGGCTTTCTAGCTGTTAAAACAGGGTCTGTATCCAAGTTTCACACAAGCCTGCTAAACACAACATGCTGCTGCTGAGTCTTTGTAAAACATGTTTCAGCTGGATTTCTTACTTCTTGCATCAGACTGATCGCTTTTCTCACATCCATTGATGAGTCTGATAATTTCTGGGCTTTTGCAGAATTTATCGCTGAAAAGCTATCCAGTCACGAAAAGCTATAGCATGTTGGCTGCTACAAGAATATCCCTTTTTGGGGTTGTAGGCATCAAATAATTAATTTTGTTCCAAATTGGGCTACAAAAGTGTTACTGACAAAGAAAAGATCCTTTGAAATAGCATAAGACAATCAATTATCGATGAATCATTAGGCAAGACATGAAAACACTAACAGCTTGCCATTAAGGACAGAATCAGCATGTCTCAACAAAACATAACTTGGGGGAATTAACCATGCTCCAACGTTGGAAATGGTTCCCCTTTAATCAAACGCTATCGACCTGAAGATATCTGACTGAAATCAGAAATAGTGATTTGCAATGATTTACTTCATGGCTAAATATCGAAATTGAATAATTATTGAAGTATTGGCCGTGAAATTTAATTTCTTATCAACAGTCAGACCATACAGCTCCCCGTTCACATCCCATAACATGATTGTCCTTGCCGATTACTTTCCCAAACTATTCAACATGAAAAGAACGTCCTACATCATAACAGCAATGTTTCTATCAAACCAAACCCATTTATGGCATGTCTGGTAGCCAAGCAGGGAAAGCATTTACACGACATGGAACCAGGTTCGCTTTCAAAATGGCAACATGTCTGAAACGTATTCCTGGTTTGTCCAGTCCAGATACTGCCTGGATTTTGATAAAACTGTGCCACCCACCTTATTCCCTCACCCATGTACATGCATCATCAGTTGGATAATAACGAGAAAATGACTGGCCAGGGCAACCACCCCATACTGAGCTAGTTGTGTGGCATATCTTGTTCTATGCATTGTCAACATAACAACCAGCTATTCCTGGAAAAACACCACCAAGTCACAAATCAGAGATGCTTTGTCAGAAACAATTTCACTGTCTCACAGACATTGATACGGTCCCCCAATATACCTTAACATCAAACATGATATACCTAACATCCTCGCTAACATTTACCATGATGAAAGGAAGCTATTAGGGAAAGCTGAGACGAGGAAACAACACCCTTCAAGCAATATTGAAAATAATTTGTCATCGTTGCCAACCTGACATGGAAAAATGATGGTCTCACACGGCTGTAAACAATGGCTGCTGCTTCACAAAGCATGATGGTCATTACCTTTGAGACAGCTTAGATACATTTGTTAAGTCTGGACTGTTTGTGTCTGTGATAATCAAATTTGTAATCATCTTCTTAATCTGATCCTCTCGTTACAGGGGCCGTTCGATAAGGCCAGATCAAGTGGCTGCGACTCAGAGAGACTTCAATGGGGATATTGGCCATCTCAATGCAATGAGCATGGGGGGAGTTAGTCATCATAAGCAAGAAGGTCGTCTGACGTGACCAATCACCTCTATATTGCTCGCCTCACGATTTACGGCCCCCTGTCCTCTGTTATTGCTTCAGTTCCTACAAATTAAGGTTTATCTTTATCTGCTTGCGTTGTGAACTTGGATAATAGGTTGGGAACAAAATTACAATTCCTAGTTGACATTTGTGGAGGGTTGCTTCAGACAAGTAATCCGTATATCGCTGCCTTAACTCAAGCCATTATCATGTACCAACGAACTGTGCAACACGTTTAGAAGCACTGTTCTGAAGACAGATTGCTCATCAAACACTGGTGAAACACTTTATATATATAGCGGCAAGGAGTGTCATCCCTGTTGGTTGGGCGCATCCACAAAATGTCAAAAAGTAAGAAAGTATTTACAGAACCTGGAAACTAACACATATGTCAAACTTTCAGTTTAAATGTGATGTAAGGTATAGCTTGTGATGTCTCAAGTCTTCTGTCGCTGGGTCCACCAGTAAAATCCATCTGTTTTCTTCCCGTAATGACACACACATGACATATCAAGTAAACAGAAGGTTTAAGCACAGTACAGACTGATTTCTCCACATGCACAAAAAAATTTGATTTGCCAAAAATTCAGCCAACAGAAAATACAGAGGAAGACTTGGGGTTTAGGAAAAGGGTTGTCAGTGGATGGAGTATCAGGGACAGGGTATTTTTTTCAGAAGGATGAAACATACTTCAGCCTTGTACTGTGCTTGAGATGAAGAAAACACTTACCCTTTTCTCTGTCATGATGTAAAGGTGAAGCTTCTGATCATCCATGCGGATGTCGGCGTTGACCCTACTTCCTTCCTGCACAGTGACGTTGTCGTATACAGATGCTACCTTTCTATTCTCTATAGTCACCTGGAATGTGATAATACCAGCGGTCAGTTCCGAATAGCAGAAACTGCATTGAGAGGGATTCCAGTTTTAGGCCAGCTATGTGTGAGAGGAAATTCCAAAGTGATACATTCTACATACATGCAAGCAGCTTTGTAGAAGGTGCTGGCACACCAAGGATCAACATTGGATTCAAACTTAGGACTTGGTGGATAAGAAATTCTGTTGGACAGTTTGCAATGCATTTGACCACTAGCCCACCAAGCTCCAAAACCAAAACTTGACAAAATTCAAGAATAACATAGCTCAAATCTGAAATGAAGAAAACATTAAAGTAAGAAGAGAGCCAATATGTTAATGTAAACATATTTTGTATTTTATGCAAATATCAAGGGGTCATATCAAAAGTAGGAATATTTAAGAAATAAAGTTCACTCTACCCCAATGTGTTTTGTAATAAAGTATAGTTTTGCCCTGAACTATTATAATTAAAGCACGAGGACGGTAGTCCGAGTGCTTTGATGTTATAATAGTTCAGGGCAAAACTATACTTTTATTACAAAACACATTGGGTAGAGCTAACTTTACATCTTTCTAAGATGCTAAATTTATTACTTTCTAAGGATAATTACGATTAATTTAAGGCAGAAAACAAATGACGGTGTCGGTGACCTAAATTAAGAATCCTCGCGACAGGGCTAACTGGTGCGCTGTTCTGTTGATGTGTCTGCCCCCTACGTTAAGGCTAACGTTACCAGAAAAACAAATGATAACAGTTTGATGACGGTTCACGCTCGGATTAAATATCTTCTCTGAATTATTTTAATTACATCTGTCATTAACGTAAACCATATGGGACAATATCAACGCCGATTTCTTCTACCAACGTAAGTTTAGATCAGTACATCCAGATGAAGCCGGAGTAGTCGTTTACATTCCACGATTGCATTGTGGGAATGTAAACATTGCGTAACGCTACTGTGTCGCTGAAACCTTGTGAGTCGAATTGACACATTTTAACCGTCGTAAAACATAAACGTAATGTTTCCACCAGTGATGTTAGCTGCGTGTGAAGCAACTGCAAACCAAGAAACGGGATGCAACGGAGTAGTTTACTGTAGGAGGCCGTACGAGGCGATGACAACTGACATGCATCGTGACGTCACTTACATTGTGACGTAATGTAAAATAATTCGATTACGAGGGGGCACACTAGAATGGCGCAGTGACGGGATAACGTCATTCAATTGTTACGTCATCAAAAAACTATACCTTTATTGTCTCATAATGTTGTTTTTTTTCGATTGTTCTAACAGCTAGGCATCTTAGAATACATATTAAGATGGAAATTGGCACCAAGCCACACAAGAAAGGATGTATAATGTAGCTAAATCATACCAAAGGAATGATCAAGGCTATACCCTTGTTATTACAAGCACCCATTTAGCTGCACTTGAGACTAACAGCCCTTACTGTCATGTCAGTTATTTTCAAGCTATAACGGTCCTTAAAAACCAACTAGCTGACAACATCTGTAACACATTTCCCAAACTGGGGATGAAACTTGACAAAGTGTTAAAGGGCTTGGATCGGTCAAAAGCGTTCAAAACTATTGCTGGCACATCTTCAGCTGTTGACAAATGAAACTTTAAGCAGCTAACTCGGGGATGACCTTTCCATCCTGATGAGAGGTATTTACTCGGACCTTTTCTCACCCAAGTGATTACTTATACAAGCATTCTTTTCAATATATTCATAATGGAAGTGATTTAAGCATCCCTGTGAGGGCTGGAAATATGAGTGGCGAGGTAACATGTACTTGCATCAAATCAGAATTCAGAATTGGATCAGCCAGCCATACAACTCTTCAGTGTACATACGATGAAGCTTCTAGTGCAGAAATTCCATACCATTTCACTCAAAACCATTAAGTGTGGGAGACAATTTGTACAAGCACTCCGGCTTTGTCAAAAGAACAAAGACCGATTTAAAATGTCCTTTTCTGGCAAAAATCAATAATTTACATCTCAATTTTCAAAGATCCTGGGCAGAGAGTTTTAGCAGTATTTGAGCCCTGGTATTCCCGAGGGACATGTAAAGTGTAGGAATTGATGTCCTGTAAGTATGTGTACAGCATCACCTTGCATGTAGCCTACATCACACAGCCTTCTGACACACAAGGCAACATGGGCTCTAAACGACTGGAACAGATATACGACATTCATAGCCATCTCAAATTACATTAAATTCAAATCAGTTTCATATAAAATAGTGACATTCTTCCCACTGAAACCCCATCTGAATGCTAAATTCTTGGTATTTTTTTTCCAAAAATTGTGTATTTGATCCTGCTATGTGGTGCTGAGTTCAAAAGATCCTAAACAAATCAATTTTGCACATACAAAAGATTAAAAGTACTTTTTCTGATTGCTAAATGGAACTTGAAAGTTGTAAATTGATCAAGGCAATAAAAGAAAGTTTGCATTTTTGTGCATCTAAAAAAACAAACCTTAATTATATTTCCTCTACTCGTCCCCACGAATGCTACAGTGTAATCGTGGGTTATGGCGACAGTAATAGCCGTCACATTCGTATGTGAGCCAAATCGCAGCGCGGCATCTGCGGTGATCGGTTTGTTGCCGTCGATGGGGTTGTTGATGTCGTGTTCACCGCAGTAGTCATCAGTAATGTTGAAATTCTGCAAATGCAAAAATACATGTCAAAATGGCTTCATTTCTGAGTTTTCTTAACAACTATACCAACCACGATATTGCCGACTCAGCTATTTCTTTCATTCTTCAACATAATGTTACATTTCTTCACCCTGTGGAGTCTACATGGATTGGGATGCTGCAGGTTTCAGTATCATTACGCCTGTATGTAGTTTGAGCTTGGACCACACAAGCCATTGTTTGATAGTGTGAGGAGTCAGACACACCACTGCCATCTATGCAGGCTTATGTCCATAAATGGTTATCACTCACTGCAAACTTTTGACAATGAAGGAAGATTCTGGAAATGACTTTAATCCAGATTCCCGAGTGAGTGAGTGAGTGAGCAATCAAAATTTTCAATCTTAATCAAATTAATCAATCTTTTTAAATGACAATAGACACAAAGAATGGCATGAAAAAATTGCACCAATGTGGAGACATCTGATATTGTAACTACAAACCTACCCCAGCCTCTAGAATTCCTAAAAGATCCAATTCCCTGAACAAAAGACAACTTTAACCTTAACATTAATTAAATAAAATTTCTTCAGGCCCCAAACACATAAACCATGGCAAAATACTATCCTGACAACTGATCATGAAGGTCAGTTCTTGCTTATCCCCTTCAGGTGTGCCATAACCTTAAATATGACATTCAAAAACCTACTGAATACATCTGGCTAACGAATTATAAAACTAACATCAAAATACCATCATAATACTCTATTGGATACACTGTTGTCATTACTGCATCTTAAAAAGGGATTAATACAACAATAACATGACCATTGACTGTTTGTTATCATAATAACTCCGGCCTCCTGGGGCAATACACTGATATCAGTGTTCAGATGACTGGTACAAACAATGTTATCTGTCCAGCCACTGTGTGAGAGAGTACAGAGAGATTGATACAGATTTGCTGTGCTGAGTGGTCATCCTGTCACCACCAATTGCAATGCACTGGAGGGAGGCAGGGAAACCTAGTTTCCCCAGGCAATTCTGTGTAATCAATTGTTACAATTGGCATCCGAAGGCGTAGCACGATCTTTGTTTAATAAATTGTTTTTCAATTCATAGATCACATACTGCATGTGTCGAGCTTGCTAAAAGCGTACCAACTCAAATACCGTGATTGATTTTCATTGGCTAAGAGCAATAATTCCTCATGTTCATTGATTCTGAATAAAAGGAAAGGCCAGCGATTGATCAGTTGTCATTAACTCTGCCATTGTCCTAGGTATCACTCGCGGCCAGGTGACATGCGTCACAGGAAGCCTACCGGGGCCCCTCTTCCTACCAACTTCCTGTGCCAACGCTAATTTCCTGTCCAACCCGAAGTTGCACCAGTAGCACCCTTGGTACCCGACCAAACTGCCGCACACAACATCTCCACTCATAATTTTAGCTACAAATAAACACATTCAGGGTCACATAAAAAAGTGTGAGTGTTGATACAAAAAGTAGACTCGGGTTACTAGGTGAAATAGGATTGATCAGTTTTTCCCCTACAAGGCAGGGAAAAAATGATCAAAGTTAACCGATACAGTGGTAGAACGTTCTGGCCATGAGTGATTTCGTTATCAGAACCTGAAGTAATTCTATAGAAAATCGACTGCCATTTAGAGGCCATTGAGAGGTCTTGAAAGCAAAGCTGGTGTGGGGTTTACTTTCCATTTACTTCCAATTGACAAGCTCAGATTCTCATGTAATATTTAAGAGGTTATAAAATGTGCAGAAGAATTAATCTGAAAATGAACAACTGTCAACAAAGGTTTCCTGTTCAAATCTGAAGAGCTGCAATTGACTTGCTAAATATTTCTCTTTGTACATCTCCCTTGAATAATGCTGCAATCTTTGGTGTAATTATGCACAAGTCTTATCAGAAACGGTCACTGACATATCTATCAAAAGAGTATAAATAATAGATCTTGCATGAATATTTCATCTCTGTCCAAAGGCCTTTCAAATTTTCAGTTCAAAAGAGATCACTTTACCCTTTTTCTCTGCCTTACTCCACAATTCAACAGTGTTTTCATCATTGCTGTTATCACCTTCAATGGGCAAGTCATCATTGTTTGTGTTTTCTTCGTAATTGCAAAAAGAATTGCTCCTTCATCACAATCGTTTTCAGTTTTCAAAGAACTGCCACTGTTAAAAATCTTTTTGTCATTTTTAATAGTGATCAGAATTGTCCTTAAATACGTTATATTGTGGTGTGATTATCTTTTGTTGTCTTAAACATGTTTTCCATTGTTGTAATGGACATCAGTCATCATTATTACCATTTGTGTCATCATTGTTTAAATATTATCATCAGTGTTAGCAACGCCGCAATAATCCACACTATTCACAACTGTAATTGCTGTTACTGTTGTTACTGACATCGATGTCATCAGAGTAATAATCCACATTAACGTCGCCATTGGCAACGCATTCAATTTCACAAGTAAAAAAATACCCTGTAGCAGACGGTCATTTAATGACTTATAAACTTAATGGATCGAGTTTACCTCATCCCTAATCTGCCAGCAAAGATAATCCATGCTGCTCACATTTCACACTGTAGCAAAGAGTTGATATACAAGACTTTCATAACTAACTACATCTGATGCCTCGTCCATCAGCTCAATCTCCTCCCTTTAAAGGCTGTAAACAGGCGCAGACAATACGATACGAAATGTGGCAGACAGTCTGTAATAAAATGTCTCAATTTTAAAGTGAAAAGGTTAAAGTCTCGCAAAGTAATTAGTTATGTATGGATATTGTGTTGAGAACAGTTATAAAGCCAGTGTTTGTTGTTGTTCAGCTGAGGAATGACAAATTACGTCCACGCTTTCTGCTGCAACACTTCAAGCTTTTCTCACTTTCACGACTGCTCCAACAACATACGATAAAATATTAATGGGCATTTTCTTCTTACGACTGTCAACGTTGTGAGGCCTTGAACCAAAGTGTTTTCTCAACGTAACACATCTTGGAGCTAGCACTTGTTAATCGTGATATTGTGATTATTGTCTGGAAACCACGAACAATTACATATTTTATTCATGTTTTTTCCCAGCTAATGCTAAGATATTTTGGTCTACTGACTGCCAAGGTAGGTCCAGCACATTTTTATTGAGAAATACGCAAAATCCTTTTGGAGAACGTGCGAATACCATCATTTTCAAGATGAAGGGTGACTTAGCGTGAAATGAAATGCATCGTCCTGCTACCGTTCACTTGTGGGCCACTGAAAGAAAACTCCTTCTATACCAGTTAATTTCCCTGGTGTTGTAAGAATACCCCCTTCAATTTCCATACAAAGTCTATATAATCAATTCCAAATGGAAAAAAGCGAACCTAATTCGCTATGTTGAGACAGACCTGAGTTTGAATAATAGCATTTTCTTGTGGTCGCCAGAATGGTGGGGAACAGTGCAAATTTCTGAATATAATACCAAGCCTGTTTCGTGCAGAACAAATGAATGTTGTCATTTTTTTGCAAAGGAATATTTTTCCAATTAAAGCTTTAGAAGCCGGTTTCAGTGTCATGATAAACAGAATATAACAATCAGCTCACTTTAGGCCATTAAACTGGGAATATCGCCTATAAACCTCAAAAGTATTTAATGCATTTAGAAATTGTGTTATAAAATATTTTAAGCTTTTGTTTGCAACAAGTTAAGAAGGCTGGATCCAGAATAAGAGATTATTAGCTGCTGAGTGTATTTCTTGTCTAAAAAGTACCCAAACTATTTTTTATATGGTCCGTTTTCAGTAACACTTAATCAAGCACATTGATCGAAAGAATAGCGGATAGGAATAGATCTTTATTCAATACTGAAAACCAGCACTCAACAACTTGAATCAATAATAGGCCACAAAATGGAAGATTTCATTCAATTTAAATTGATTATTTAAGAAAGTTGTATTGATGTGCAACTTGTGGAAGAAAAACAATTCGACTAACTCTGAATTGAAAGGTGTTTACGAGGCTCTGCTGTTACCGTCGAGAGATAGTGTCATCGTGGTAGCTGTATCATTATTTCCCAATTTCTCAAATCCACGACATCCACAATGATAGATCTGTGCATGGAAAATCTGAGGGCCGAAGATATTAGTTAGGGTACTACAAGTTGATACAAACCACATCTCTTCTGTAATTGAGTGTTACTACAATACAGGAACCATCGACCATCATGAGCTGACTTGACTATTCCTGACAAGCATAGATGCTATAGGAACACTTTGAAAGTCAGTGGGTAAACAGAGATTTGACTCCGCTTGTGGTAACACTGCATGTGGTAGTACTGCGTTTATTTTGGCAGTCTCCATTAAGAGGATATAAACTCTGGAATAGAACCCAAATTGTTGGTAAAACTAGCAAACAGCTCAATCACAAAACTACCATTAGACAACTACCATGCAAATGAGATATTTACTGATGATAAATATACCTTACTCGGGGCTTATGTGTATTTATTTATGGCCCTAATCCTGCATTAAATTTGACCACTGCATTAGCAATATTTGCTGACTCATCAGTTTCAGAAAGCACACCGTGTCATGGATACCAATACTTAAAAAAAACCTTTTCCTTTGGGGGACTCTGATAGCTAGCCATTTCACAACAAATCATAAACAACTTCTAGTTTCATAAATTCCTTGAAACACGGTTTCTGGCCGATAAACTGTAAATCTTGCTTACATTTCCACAAAATTGACATTCCAAGGATACATCTGGCATCAGTTAATGTGACCCACAGTAATACTGCTCCACTTATGAAAGGCCCTCTGCTCTGAAAATTCTTAAGAAGGTAAATATTTGACAATCTACTTTGACCTTTCTTTGATGATAAGGTCAGTCTTGACCCCTGTTGAGTCGAGTCGAGTCAGGTTTCAAAGAGCAGACAGAATGTAGCCAAAACAGTCCAACAGGAATGTATTTTCCACATTCTGAGACAAGATTACTGCAAAGTTCCTGGGTCAACTCTGAACCAATGAGTAAGTGAGTATGGTTATACATATTCCAGCAATATCACGGCGGGGAGGGGGACACCAGAAATGGGCTTCACACATTGTACCCATGTGCGGTATCGAACCCAGATCTTCGGCATGACAAGCAAATACATCCTGAGTTAGTCACAAAGTCCATAGACTTTGATATTGTCAGTGAAGTCTGTTGTTAAACAATATATTTCTCTCTTCCAACTTATTTACATTTTCTAATGTAGATTTCAATGTTGATTACAGCTGGCTGACTTGTATGGGTTTTATAAACTAGATTGGCTTTGATCAGACTAATGACGACAGTGTGGGGCTTGAAAATATAAAAATACTGTAGATTGATCTGACACTCATATCAATCTGGGGCAACTGAAACAAGACTCACTTATTTCACTTAAACTGAATTCAAAATGAGCTGTGGATTTGTTGGAGAGGGCCGTTTGTGTCCACCCTCGCCTTGCTCCAAGGCTGTACTGAATGCTATGCCCATTGGTGTATAGTAATTCTGTCCTTTAAAGAGGCAAGTCTAGATAAGCGGACAGCACATCTAAGGACCCCAGTCCGACGAATATTTATATTTTATAGAAATTATCATTTAAACTATGTATTATTACCTTAGAAACTTGTGCAAGTCTATGTCCACCCCAGATGACAGAGTTCTGATAGTGCCTGCTTATGTGTCTACTCAGCTTTTAGCCTCAGCAGAATAAGAAACCATTACCACAAACCCATATTGTTTATCAATAATATGATGATGTTTCTGTTGACTTTCTGTTAGGCATGATCACTGAAATATATTATAATGATTGGTATAACATTAACAGACACAACTATGGAGTAAAATGAAGAAATATACTTAAAGGATCTCTTGTTCTCTCACATTGTTGTTGTGAAAGTTACAAAATTTGTATTTTTTCATTTAAACTCATCTGTTGTCAGTGAGTAAGTGTATTCTATGAGAGAATATCTCACTGCACAGGGATACAAATATTATTGCCTGACCCTATCAGCTTTAAATATAAAACAATGTCAATTTCAAAACTTGTTACACAAGTTTAAGTTGGTTCCTGAAGATGACTGACCTGAATAGGTCATTATTTTGCCTTTTTCCCCATTTATTTTGAACTATAACACAAATAGTTACTGCCTTTAATCCCTGTGAAGAAGCTATTCTCCCTGAAAATTTTTTTTCTCGTTTTTTCACTTTACATCTTTAACCTTGACTTAGTCAACAATAAAAAAACAATGTTCTACAATGTGTCCCAACAAAACACAAAATTCTAAGTTTAGCATAAAGAGAAGAAGCGGAAATGAAACAAATGGACTCCAGGAAAAAGGATGAAAAAAATTAAAAGGTTTCATTGTCAGCCATGTTTCAAGGCTAGAGAAGTTGACAGCATTGCTTGTCGTGAGCGTACTCGGAATATTTACAGAGGTGAGTCTTTGACGTCTACGATCGGTAGCTGCATCTTTAACATTGATTACAACTCAAGTTTAACGCGAACTTGCTGTAAAAACAGATCAACATAACCAAGGAACTAATCCATAGGCAGCCACAGCTTTAAAAAACACAGGATTAATCACGAGATGTTCCCCAACGTAAAATACCTCTTTATGGAAATTCAGGAGAGAAGAGAAACACATCTACACTCAGTGAGGGCTTTCAGACGATCGATTTCTTCAATAGGTTATCACAAGATCCAGCCTTGTGCCATCTTGATCAGACTCAAGGAAACGCAGAGATCTTCGACAGTTCATTGGAAAGATGGTAGTTTATCATGTGCCGATCTTGGTGGAATAAAACAGTGAAGCTCATGGCTAATCCGATGACAAATTTGACAGTGGAAGAGTTGCAGCCAGTGGCGTAAGCCATGCTACACATATTCCAGTAACTCTGATCTCTCATATTGAATGTAGAGCACATTATCTGGCTATAACTCTTGAGGAACAAACCATAGACTATTTCCATGCATGGAGAACAGCTTGACAGACATTCGGATTTGTGGACATGAATAAAACAAGTGCTGTCTAGATCATATTCAAATATCGAATCTGGAAAACATGGCAATGCTTCAGCACCAAAATTACCAAGTCAACACCACATCCTGGACGTAAAGATTAATTAAAGATTGAACTAGCTTCTTAACATTTAATAGTTTACCTTAAACAAGATAGATACAAGATACATTATATTTATTGTGCAAACAATATTCTATAAACTACATAAATATAAACTATAGGTTTGTCAGTCATTTTATCTGTCTAAGTAAGTGAGTGAGTGAGAGTGAGTGAGTGAGTGAGTGAGTGAGTGAGTGAGTGAGTGAGTGAGTGAGTGAGTGAGTGAGCTGGGTTCAACACCACTTTGTACAGTATTTCTACTATTTCACATAAACCTGTGTCAGTCTGTAGTGAAAAATGTTTTCTATTTTGGTGAAAGCCACTATAGTACTGGCGTGGTGTTGACAGAGCAGGGATCACAATCAGGGCAAATCTGCCATTCAGAAACTAACCATGTGTTATGAGATAGGACTGTAAACTCCAAAATGTCAATCTGACTCCAAACAGGGAAACTCTGACGAAAGATAAACATTTTACCTCATTCCTATACGTCTACATTAAAACTTCCTTCCAAACCTAATTACAAAGAAAAACATATTGGTATCATCTCAATTTCATGCATATCCAGTTTTCCTGATTCAGCATTTTTTTCACCTTTTCTCATTTATTTTACTTCGTTTTACCATGAATACTCAAACCTATGTAAACATGACAGATTTGGTCCTGTGCTTACATACAATAGATATGATTGACAGTCCGATCTCTGTGACACCTTAACTATAACAAGCTTTCTTCCACATAATGAATATTTCATAACGCTTGGATGAGACGTACAAGGCAGCCAATCAATATCATGATCAGGCCTAAATGAGACGGAGAGTATATAATCAAAAATCGCTATATGCCTCACGTCTCAATTCAAGTGGAGCTGTAAGCATTATGCCAGGGGGGGTCAAGTGACCCAGGACAGGCAGCTGGGGTCAGTGTCAAGGGTCAGAGTGGAAAGTTGGGATAAGTATTGCCGTAATGAGATTGATATGCTGCTCGAGACAGATCATGAGTCCGTCCAATTAGGTGGACTTACACAAGAGGATATCTGAAATCATCTTACGTAGCTACTGGGAGGATGTAATTACATTTAGTTCATCGTCGGGAATTCTGTCTCAGGCAGTCATGTACAATGTGACAATAGAGATACATGCCAGCATGATACATTGGGACTTAATACCACTTGGAACAGTATTTAGTTATGTCATGTTTGCCAGCATCGGGGGAGAAAGGTAAGCATGATTGAGAGCCTAAGACATTTACCACTTTGCTGAAACATCCCATCACTGGATCATCAGGCTTAATCAGGGTTTCCAACCTACCACACAAGATCCTGGCACAGCTAAGACATTTACCACTTTGCTGAAACATCCCATCACTGGATCATCAGGCTTAATCAGGGTTTCCAACCTACCACACAAGATCCTGGCACAGCTAAGACATTTACCACTTTGCTAAACATCCCATCACTGGATCATCAGGCTTAATCAGGGTTTCCAAACTACCACACAAGATCCTGGCACAGCTAAGACATTTACCACTTTGCTAAACATCCCATCACTGGATCATCAGGCTTAATCAGGGTTTCCAAACTACCACACCAGATCCTGGCACAGCTAAGGGACACAACTCTTAACATTATTGCAGTGCATTACACTGTTGGACCATTCATACTGTTCAAACAATCATAATGTAAGATTTAAATTAAGAAACTACTTACCGCTTTTACGCATGTTCCTGATCCAACAATATGGTCGGGTCCTGTGTTTCCAATGCCTTGGAAACATGACTGAATGTTTTCCGTGAATGACTTATGTACTTCCCTCATTGGATAGACACACAGAGCTGTGTCGGCATTACTATCCCCCAGAGAAAACACTGCGTACAAGACGTCTTCCACGGTGGGTATGTTCAGTCCCTGGGCCAGGTTCTTCCCTGCCTTGCCAACATAGGCGGCACGAAGGATGTTGTAGTGGGTCTGCTGGTGCATGCACTTCAGCTCTACTTCCGTGTACGAGTAAAATGCAGCATCGTTTTGACACACTCGGAATATTTTGGAGATAAAATTATCCAGTTGGGCTCCTTGTTTCTGGACTGTTAACATATAACTGAATTTGCCTGATCCAAATCCGTAAATATATCGAACGGGAAAAGTGTCACGCTGTTGTGACTCAATCTCGATTCTTGATTTTCGGAAGTTCTTGATCCCAAGTCGGAAAGTGTCCAAATTTCGACTGGCAAATGCCGGCACCTGGTCGCGGTATACCTTAAGACCCTGAGTGGACCAGGTGGCACTAACATACAAAACTTCCTCCTGAATACCACCTGGTTCCTTGGCAGGTCCCGGAGCAATAAAGGCAAAAGACGAAGCATTGATCATATTGGATACAATCGGGATATGCTGGATGTCGTCCTTCATCTTAATGTCATCAAGGTGGTATTTCTCGCAGTAGCCATGGTAGAGGTTAAAGCAGGCTATCAGACGTTGGTGGGTGTAGTCAATTACCAAAATTTTGTTGAATGCATCAGTTCTGGTTCTCTTCAGCGAACACTTTGAGATATTTTCAGATATAAGAGGCGGACAATTTGGATTGTCTTCCTTTGGTCCTGTGGTTTCATTTGTCAGCTTATTAAGATCTTGATCAAGTTTGTATATCACGTTCACAGCCCCAATGTAGATTGTTTGGGTTTCTCTGTTCCAAACAAGGTGGTTGAAAACTTCATTACCCTCAAATCTGGCCACCTCATATCGGACTGCTGATAGTTCAACACACGGGCAAATGACACAAATAATTGTCACTGCCACAAGCACTCGCCAGGGGGTCATGGTTGTCCTTGACCTCTCACCATCTCATCTAAACCTGAAAATATAATAAAATTCTTTAAGTTTAACATCAAAATTGATTAAAATCAGATTTCCTCTGAATACATTTGTGAAGTGCTATCTTGATGCCTTTGTCATGACACTGAGTTAGTGGGAATGGCTTTACACTGCTTGTATTAAGCTAGCCCTGTTGGGGAATGGGCTTCACACATTGAACCAACTGGGAATAGAACTGCGAGTATGACGTGAGAAGTGAACACTTTAACCACTCAGCTACTAATGTCTATGACACAGATGCTACAGGAATACTAGATCAACCTTACTCTGTCTTCCACCTAGATTCTGTCAAAATGTCTCTCATAATGCATTTCTGGCGTCTCCTGCCATGATATTGCTGGAATATTGCTAAAAATACCATACTCACTCACTCACTCAATGATTTAAAAGTTTCACTTTTACCGCATCATCCCATCAAAAACATATTGAACTACTTTCTCACAATGAGCAAGCAAACAGGCAAAATGAAACTTGCAAATGAAATCCAAATGGCCGTACACTAACAACCACAAGGGTTGACACAAAAAAAACACCCACTCAAACATCAAACTTTGTATGTCTTCTCTGCACACCTGTCTGTGTGCCTCTCGCTGTTAGGTCTGAATTAGCAACAGCCTTGGAGCTTCAAGTCAATGTCTAATACAGTTACTGCATCCTCAGCAGAACAGATATTTCTGATTTAGTCAGGTTTCTTTCGATGTTATTGACTTAGGACTGATGAACCGATGCTAAAACGAGGGCCCCAACAAAGGCTGAGAATATGCATGACACTGATCATGATTAAATCCTTCCAAATCTGTGCTAATCTCTGCTTTACATGTCTAAACCGTTACAATTCAACCTGAAACATCCCAAGCTGTTCCAATAACCTCCCCGCTGTTCTAACACCCGCCCCTACCCATCCTTCTCAAGAGGACGCCAGACAATATGTTTGACTTCCTAATGAGCTAATTAATCACCTGAGATCAGCTTTAACCATAACATGTCCTATAGCATGAATATTGCATGCATGCATCACGTCTCGCGCCAACCCCACACACAACAACGTTCTTGCAACAACAGCTCCTGGTAGATCAATGATTGCAGATACTGCACAAAGCCGATGCATCGTGCAGCAGTAAACAAAAACTCCACGGGTTGGACTCGTTTACCTGGCTGCTGACACAACCCTACACATTTCCAGAAGATTATTGCCAACATTAGACACCTGGAAAGAAAGATATGATTATTTCAGTCTGTGAACATAATTACCGGCTGGACAAAACCCATTGATCCGCCATAAACAAAGGTAATAAAACCAACAGATTGATATACGCATCTTGATTAGGCAGGGGAGTTATTCCACATTCGCTGATGTAAGTATCAATAATACTCTCGGTCTGAGCCACGGTTATTCAACAAACAGTGATCAGGCAAATGCAATCGATGCTGTCTTCTCATGCAAGTTCTTGATCATTCTGATGTATGTTTAAGATGGAATAATATTCGTATCTACCGGCCCACTCTCACTTGAGAGAATCGTCTTGCTGTGTGTCAATGCTGCAGCATCAACAAACCATCTTCAAATATCAAGCAACAAAATAAACAGGCCTGTACAAAAGGCTGGCAGAGAAATATGGATTCTGTTTTCATCACTGCACACAGCAATATCGCTTTACAATGCAAGGAGGAGATTGAGATTGGGATCAAACAGAGAGGAGAGAATAAGCAGAGGTTGTGTAATTTTGTTGCAAGTGTCTGGAGGGATACATCTGGAGCACCTTGACAGGTGAGCACAGGTGAGGTGGGGGGGATGTAATCAACGGAGAGCATGGAAGGGGGATAGTCAAAGATAAACAAGAGGAAGTGAATGGGGTTTACACTGGCATTGATTGTTTGAAGGAGTGAACATGATGTTAAAGACAATAGGTGCACATGATACAACAGGAGTGATTTAGGACACATTTACACCAAACCGACTAAAAAATCTTGTATTTACAGAAAGCAAGACATTACCAGGTCCTCAACTACAACAGGGAGTGGGTCTGTTGCTCTGCCAGTTTTATTAATAATCGAGCAATATCACAGTGGGACACCAAACTGATTTTCTAATATTCCAGCCACATGATTGGTTGGTTGTTTAACGCCACACTCAGCAATATTCCAGCTATATGGCGGCCAGCCACATAAAGAATCAAACTGGAGTTTTAGGTGTGATGAGCTAACGCTTGAACCATAAGGCTACCCTACCACATCTTTAAGCCTGACACTGAGAATGTTTGCTAGAAAACACATGAAGGTGTACCTCGTCTCCAGCGACGTGATGCAGAATGATCTACATGATACCGCAATTCATGATGAGAATATTATTCACGCTTTGTTGACACATTGTGAACAAAAAAAAGTTCTTTAAAGAAAAGTAGTAAGTGAAAAATGTGACACGTTAATGTGTGAAGCTTGCATTTATCAAATGGCTGGTACCCTTTGATGTCTTCAGATCTTACATCCTTCACAAGCATCTATCTGAACATGCTGTACTACAGGCACAACAAACACAGCCACCACTTTACCTGTACAGATCAGTTACATTACAGCAGGGTGATAAACACACAGTCGTAACATCCTTAACCTTCACAGAAATCAAGGCGTCAGTGAAGGCAGATGCATCAAAGAGGAACTCATGGTCCCAACTTCAATTAACCCAGCAATAAGCTATTGTCTAAATTAACCCACAGAGTGTTTTACTGATAAGGTGTATTATCAATACCGGCTAGAGTAATACTCTTCAAGTAAATCTAGTCAAAGCTCCGTTAAAGCTTGTGGTTTATGTAATGTACCTAGACTTAGGGAGAAAATAAGTAGTTTCATGAGACAACAGGCTACTGTCAGATAAGATAATTTTTATTGTACAAACACTATCATGGGGCTTAGAACAAACTACAAACTGCCTCAACCAGCCAATAACAGACGACACTTGATTTAACACAGAGCTAGGGATATAAAGCATGATGTAGCATACTAATTATAATTATGAATTCTACAGAGGAGAGGCCTGTCTGAGTGTAATATTGATAAGTTTCACGACTGAATAGTTACCGCCAGTATAAGACACATTAAATTACAGCTGGGAATGTTTATAAAATACTGAAACACATCCTTCACTTTCTCTTAAGGTATCAGTGTAAACTGTAGTTCTGGAAAGTGAGTTTAAATACAACAGTCGATATCATGGTAACAATATAAACAGAGAGTATAAGACCAACATGCTACACACGTGTCTTGAGCCAACCTCCAGCGGTTTGCACTCACACACCTAGCTCCTCACTGTTAAATAGGTCAGCTATGTCACGGAGTTCTAAATCCTTCACATGGATGAATAGCCGTTTCCCACACTACCTGACAAGACACATTTGCATGTCAAGACGCAGGCATCTCAGCCACAATATTAATAACTGGCGGAATAAACACAACACTAACCTGGAAGGGCAGGAGTGAGCACGCCTCTCGCATGACTCAACACTGTGGTATATCTGTATTTATATCCCAAGTGAAGATACAAAGTAACACAGTGAAAGAATAAATCAGCGTTATCACCGACTTACTACTGATTGAAAATGGAAAACCAAAAACAAAGACATGAGGACTGACCTAAGTGAGTTCCCAAGTCAGCGACAGCACAACACGAGGGATATCCACATTGTAGAAAACATTAGTGAAAGCAAATGTATAATCCACACAAGAATAGATCCACAAGATGAAGCTCCACCACTCCCTATGACGAGAGCAACCTAAATACACAGAGATCTCTCCTTGACAGGTCCGAAGTGAGTGGAACGCCTCGCAGAGTGAACACAATAACTGCGGCCCGACAGACCACACTGTAACAGTGTCTGTAACTGGCCTTACGCCAGTGAGCGACAGACAGACCGATAGGCTATGGCTGAATGCTCCACACGAGCCCCTCAACTCTGCCTACTGGTATGGTTAAATACACAGTTCACACTGAAAGGGCTAGCCTTGGAATGCCTCAGGCTCGTCGAACTTCGGGGTTTAATCTGGATCAATGAAATGCCTAATCAAGAGAATACATATTCAGAATGAACATAGTCATGATACCCAGGTTCTCAACCAACAGTGTTGTGGACCGGTCAGATGGGAGAAAGGAGTAACTGAATACGCTCTGGGCTGCAGTTGATGTTAATTCAATTCCAGTGTATAGTCTGTGTAGGTATCATGGCATCTGTGAGTCTTGCATGATTCTGCTGTATTGGAGGGTAATGAAATTAGATATGGAGATGTCCCTGTGCTGTATTGGTCTGAAGGTTTCACTGTCCGGTGATGGAACTTACTGTACACTAAGGACTTTATAAGTTCTCCTTCCTGACTATTGAAATTGGCCAGACCTTTGTCATTAAGATAGACACCAGACAAGAGTAATCAAAATCTCTGGCAATCCATTTATCAATATGTGCACACATGTGCATGCAATTCCTCGATTAGCTGCTGTACACTATTTTCTAGGCTTAAAACTTCATGAATTTTAGATATACCTCATGGAAATGTGCAGCAAATTTCACAGCATGTGTGTGATAGATTTTTACCCTTTTTTTGTTAAGTTTCATAAAATTGGATAATACCGCCTGTCATGGCTGTATTCCTGCCTCGGAAAATTTTCATGAATTCCATTTTGATAAAATTGCACAGGAATCAAATTTGAGAGGTCTAGGCCAGGGTACCACCATGCAGTGTTTTGGTTAGGGAGGTTTCAACTCTATTGATTGCATAAAGCCTTGCACAAAGAAGGCAGGCCAGTCAGCACTGCTAGTCAGTTTATCCTCTACCAAAAACTACCATCTCTATCACTACTCGTTAATGAGACAATTCGCTTTATCTGCACCTGTGGCAGGGCTGTCCTCGTCACACTTTTTGATAATTACAATTAATAAGGGCTAAGATAATTGAGCTCTAATGACCGGCTGACAGCTCCGTCCTACACTTAGA